CTGTAAGTTTATTTTCTGTGTGAGTCTGTTTCTGTTTTATAAATAAGTTCATTTGTGTAAATTTTTTTTTGGATTCCACATGTAAGTGATATCATATGATATTTTTCTTTCTCTTTCTGACTTACTTCACTTAGTATGGCAATCTCCAGGTCCATCTATGTTGCTACAAATGGCATTATTTTATTCTTTTGTATGGCTGAGTAGTATTTCATTGTATAAATATACCACAGCTTCTTTATCCCCAGTAACATGCTGAAGGATAATGGGGCAAATTTTCCATTCATTTGTTCATTCATTATGAAATTAATGTATTTATTGAACATATATTTCTTAACACAATTTTTTTTGAGACCAGGAATTCAAAGTTCTCTAGAAGAGCAAGAGTGCAATTAAACAAATATGGGAACGTGGTATATTTTGCGTATACAGCCTCCTTGGAGAGTGCTGTGGTAACTCAGCACCTAGAAGAACATACGACACACAGTAGGGACTTGGTAAATGTTTGTTGAATGGATTAACAAAGAGCTCATCAGACAGATGGAAGAGAAGGGCCTTCTAACCAGAGGGGAGCAGAACAGGCAAAGATCTGGGGAACTGCTGGTGACCTAGGCAGGAGGATGGGTGTATGGGGGTGTGGAGAACTGTGGGCACTTGGTGAGAAGTTGGCCTGTTTAAATAAACCTGAGTCAGATCTGGAATGCTAACAAAGGGAATTTTATTTTATTTTTGTTTTTTAAATTTTTTTCATCAAGAACGATCTTCAGCTAGAGGCAGGACAGAGGAGAAGCCTAATGTGGATGGTGCACCAGCTCACTTGATACACGTCATCTTACCTGATACCCCCAGTCATCCTCTGCAATGTTGTTCCCATCTTCCGTGTTAAAAACCACTCAGAGACTCAGAGAGCTGCACCATTTGCCCCAGGTCAGTCAATTGTGAAAGGAAACTTTCCTCTTCAATTCAGTGAAATACTCATCCTAAAGACTGGCAGCCAGCCCATGGGAATGGGAGCTGGTACCTGCATTTCCTGTTCTTGTCCTGGGTTCAGCGGCTCCTGGAGGGTCACTCCCAGGTCCCCACCACTCAGCCACCTTGCCTCTTCATTTAGCCTCATGGGCCCAGAGAACAGGCTGAAAGTTATAAACAAAGCAATGAGCAACATTTAGGAACTAAACATAGACACATAACCTATGAATGAGTGTGCATTGCCTTTGGCAGTGGGGCCCCATGCGAGTCTCTCTGCTTACCTCTGGCCTTCTTCATGTGACCAAGAACATCGTTAACTCCCACCAAGAGGATCTTTAGATGCTGAAACTCCTGCCCAAGAACCTGGTTGATTGATGTTCTGCCTACTGAAGACTTACTTGTCCTTAGGGTATCTTGCACGCTTAGGGTGGTGTCTGCCACATGGTGGGTGCTCATGAGCAACTGTTATTGTTATTCACCTCCCTTTACAGTTCTGACTGTCAGGCTCTCCCGTAGGATTGGACCTGAGACCCCATGCTCACGCTCCCTGCTTGCAGATTCACAGTGATAGTCATAGCAACGTAAAATAGACTGAATATTCACCTAAGGGACAGGGACATACAGTAGCAGTGGAGTTGTTCTGTTACAGGGTTACTAGGAGTTGAGGTTGGTGCTCAGGGACGTCTGTCTCCTCTCATCTCCTGGTTTTCCACTAGAAAGGAGGGTGAAGGGAAGAGATCATGAGAACACAGCAGCTATGTACAGTCACTGTCGAGTACAGTTTTTTTTAAGCTGCTGAGAGAACTTAGGGAAGAGATAATGAATGGCTGTTGGAAATATTTTCAGAACCATGAAAAATTGAGAGTTTTAAACGATAGGCAAACTATCCAGGTTTCTAAAGAAGAAAGATAATTTTTTGACCCCTGATGGTAAGTTCCATTCCTTTCTCAATAAGAGCCCGCTCTGGATTTTTAAGAAGGTGGTTTGCAAGCATCTACAGAGGAAGCAAATAATCTGCTAAAATCCGTCTCCAGTTTCACGAAGAACAGGTCGGATCAGGGCCATTTCTCCTGGGATGGATTTCCAGTTGAACAACTCAAGAGGCCATGTATTTGCATCTCAGCCAAGAGTCCTAATACAAATGGATTTTTATTTTGTTTTAGTGCCTCTTGTGTGTCAAGCACTATGATAAGCACTGGGGATAATTGAGCTAAAGGAGTACAGCTTTATGATGTCAGAAGTAATCTATGGTATTTTTCTCAAATAGATGCCCACAGATGAATTGTTAGAAACAACCAGATTGGTTATATTAATAGCTGCTTTGATAAATATACATTTTATAATGATGCTTATATATTTTTGGATAAACCAAAAATGGTTAAAAAAAAGTGTAATTAGTTGATGGATCTCATCCAGAAAGACAATTTTTTGTGTGTGATAAAGACCAAAATTGAGGTGAATACATTCTTTTCTACTTATTTAAAAAATCTAGTTGTTTGTGTATGTGTGTTTGTGAATGTGTTGAAGGTTTAATATTAATGTCTAGATTTTTACCATAAATAATAAGGATATAAGTAAAATAAATAGAACCTTCTTAAAAGATCCCTCTTCCTTTCCAAACAGCAGCATTGTCGCCTACAATAAAACTGCACAACCACAACCACACAGATCTTGGGAGAGGGGTGTGTGGGTGAGCAGGAGAGTGTGTCTAGGATGGCTGGAAGCTCATTATTACGACCGCTATGCACCTCGTTCTAATGAATCACTTTTTCCCGTTAGCTCCTGAACTCCTCAAGATTAGGGCCTGTGTATCTGATAAGATGCCTGGACCCTCACAAGTTCTCAATAAGCACTTCTTGAAGGTAATTCCTCCCTCCCTCCCCATAAAACCCCTTAATTTGATTTTATATTGCATTAGTTATAGAATAGTATCTTTATTAATTTCCCATTGCTGCTGTAACAGTGTAACAAATTAACACAAAATCAGTGGCTTGAAACAACACAGATTTACTGTTCTGCAGTTCCAGAGGTCAGAAATCCACAAAGTCAAGGCGCTGGTAAGACTGCGTTCCTTCCTGAAGGCTCTCAGGGACAATCTGTTTGCTTTTCTCTTCCATCTGCTAGAAGCTGCCCGTATTCCTTGGCTTGTGGCCTCTTTCTTCCGTCTTCAAACCAGCAATTCTCTGACCCTTTTTGGGTGGTCACACTTCTTTCTCTGACTACTGTGAGGGAAAACTCTCTACTTTTCTTTTAAGAATTCATGTGATTAGATTGGCCCTACCTGTATAGTCCAGGATATTGCTATATAAGGTAACATATTCACAGATTATGTGGTTATGTTTAGGATTGGGTGTGGATGTCTTTGGGAACCCATTATTCTGCTTATCACAGCATCCAAATAGGAAAGGTGGTGGCATTAACTTTGTTAGACTATACCCAGAATGTTTTTACTATTCCTCACTTCAATCAAGTACTTAAAAATTGTAGCAAAGAACCAGAACAACAAGGGGATTTGGAGTGGTTCCACTTGAAGGGCTGTTTAAAGGAATGAAGATGTTTATCTTAGAAAAATGAAGACCTATATTGAGGGGTGCAGTGGGGGGTTGTGGTTTGAGGAGGCACGAGACGATTGCTTTGTCAAAATATCAACAAGGTCTGCTGCAGGATGGAGAGTTAAGCTTGTGCTGTACCATCTAAGAGGGCAGAATACGAGTAATACTGGGACCTTTAGAGAAGCAGTTTCAGGCAGAAATTAAGGCAGAGCCGTGGACATTATTGATGTCCTTAAATGCAGCAGGCTGAAAATGGCATGTTTTGTTGATGTTCAGAATCTTATAAAGGAGACTTGAGCTTTAGATGAGGGATCAGCTCAGATGCACTGTCAAATTCCACTTAGCCCTCACTGTCACTGATTCTGTGACTTAGAATTCCATTCGTGACCCTTGGGCAGCCCTGATTGCATATAGCGGGAGCTGGCCACACCCCTCATCCTTACTCAGGAGTCATCTTTTGGCCATCACTAATTTCGTATCTAAGGAGCCATCCCTTGTCAAACAAAAGAGGCGGTGAAGGAAGCTGTTGAGTTCAGATGCCTCTTTGGAAGATGCAGTGACCCATGTTACTACTGAGATATTAAAAACAACAGCCACAGGAATAGTGCAAGTTTTAAAATATTTCACAGATTCTTAAAGAATGCTCTCTGGCATGTTTAGGCACGGAAAGAAAACAGAGAAATGAGCTATAGAGACAAGGTGTGAAGAAACTGCAGATTCATTGCTCTTAGGTGACTTGTATGGGTATCAGGTAGGACTCATATTTTGAGGAAGTTGAATATTTAAAATGAAGAAAACAAAAGAAAAAGTAGACCATATTCTTTAATCCTAATCCAGAAAATAATATATTTTTGAGAGTTTTTTTTTTTTCATTAGTCCACTTTTGGGAAGACTATTTGGAATAACTTGTACAAGATCTGGGAGTCGCTATGTAAAGTTCTGCTTTTATGTCAAGTGTTTGCTACATAAAGGTACTTTTTATGCTTTAAATAGTTTATGTTACCATAGTTTCGATCTTTTCAATACACTTATGGATGTCTAGGTTATAAAGCTGAACTGTACTCACTGCGTTACGTTAGATAATTTGACCTACTAATTATTTTATATACTAAAAATACCCAAAAGGAATTAAGAAATTAATTATGACTTCAGTTGTATTCAAGAGAGCTCTTTGTGGTTCTTTACAGCTGTGATTTATGTATCTTCAAAGAGAGTCTTAAGTGTCTTTGGGGATGTAATGGTCATTCTGGATTAAGAGGAGCTTGTTCAGACACTTAAGGCTTTGGGCCAATACTGGCAATGACTTCATACCATTCCGTCTTCTTTCCACTTCTATGGATTACCCAACAGCAAGGATGGTGATTCTGGCCAGCCCCTGACCCTCCCTTCCACAGTCAGGGGAAGGTCAGCTATTTTTTGATCCCCATGGCGGGGAGACAGCTCCTCAGTCAGTATCCTAAAATAGCCAGCCATTCCCAGCTGCTGGGCTGGAGTCCCTCCAGGGGAGAGCAGGGGCGATACAATTCCACTGGCTGGGAGGGAGTGAGAAGCCACCGAGACCTGTGCTAGGAGCGGCTTCTCGAGAAGATTCTGCCGACCCCCAAATCTTCATTCTTTTTGTTGAGGAGCTGTGTGTCTGCTATTTTTATTTTATTTTTTTTAATTTTATTTAAAGAGAAACAATTGAATTGAAAATGAGACTAAATATCGCCATCTTCTTTGGGGCTCTCTTTGGTGCTTTGGGGGTTTTACTCTTTTTGGTGGCTTTTGGATCAGATTATTGGCTTCTTGCGACTGAAGTGGGGAAGTGTTCAGGTGAACAGAATGTGCGTTTCTTTCAGACTATTGTACTTGGTAGTAATGAGGACAGCCTTGTGTATCTTCTTAAAATTCAAAGGATAAGTGGAATGTCTATTTCTTCACAGAAGAGATATGTAGAAAGTTACTGATCATTATTATTTGGGAAAAAAAATACATCGCTTTAAAAATGTCCTGGATGTCATTATTTAGATTATGTTCCTTTTGTTGATGGCAAGTTGCTTCATTTGTGTTCCGTACAGACAGAAAACGTCACTTTCCACCATGAAGGATTCTTCTGGAGATGTTGGTTTAATGGGGCTGTGGAAGAGAATGATTCCAATATCTGGCAGTTCTGGTACAGTAAGTACAATTCAGATCTATTTTCTCCCTTGGCTTTAAAATAAAAATAAACTGTTTCCTATTTGGTGCTTACCACTTACAAAATAGGACCGAGTTCTTAGTCGTGGAATCTCAATAGGATATCTTACAAAGGTTCATAAAATGATCCCTTTTCAGTAAGTAGAAGTGGCTACAGGAATAATTATTTTATTTTTCTAACATAAAATAGGAGTCTGAATTTTTATGACAAAATTAAAGAATCCACTCTTTCCTTGTTCATGTATAAAATATACCAACCTTAACAAGCAAAACAAATATTATCTATAGTATTTTTTTCAAGTGTCTATTATTGCTATGTTGCAAATAAATGTTTTAATTTTTTTTGGCTGTAAACTCTTGAAACTCCAAATTAAAAATCCAGAATTAGAGATGTATTATTTTATATTAATAGCTTCAAAGTCAAAAATTCTTTTTATAATGAACAGTTATGAGCAGTGTCAGATGAAAGCTTGCTCTATTTGGGCTTAAACCAAGTTTGTGGGCAGCATCAAGGCATGCTTCACTTTTGATGTTTCCACTCTCTTATAGAAAGTTTAAAGTTCTTTTTTGAAGCGGAATAGCTTCTTAAAAATATGATGCCTTCCTTCAACTGCATTTCCTGTATTGTGCTAATCTTCGAAAACCGACTCACTGAAAACAGCTAGTCTTTATCTTATTGCCTCCAATAAGATAGAACTGTTTATTACTGTAAGAACTGTTTATTACTGTCAAGCTTATTGTGGGTTGAAATTCTTATCAAAATGCTCCCATGATAAATCAAAGTATGGTATTTACACAGTAGTCAAGGTTATGGAATAGATCATAAAAATATGAGATCACAGAACACAAACCAGCAGTGAACTGGCATATGTAACAGGAACAAAGCCATGACGAAATGGCGTTTTGAGAAACATTTCATAAACTGTCTGATTGTCACTGGGGGAAGAGGATAAGCATGTGACCTGCCAATGGACATTATTTAGCCTTTGTGCTGGAGTAAGTCAGACTCTGCAGGAGGAAGATTTTTGCCAAGACTTAGACAAGGAAGGAATATTTTACTCCTTAGAGGAGATACAATGAAATCTTCAAGCTTTCAAACAACATTAACGTTCTTCCTTGTAATTTCTTCAAATGCTGAAAATGTATTTGAATTATCAACTTGCATGGTCTATCATTTGCCTCATTACCCTAAAAATAGAATATAGAAGAAATTTTATATTAATTGGAATCAATCAAGGTTAAATCTAAGTTATTACATTTTTTTAAACAATTATTTTTTGAATACCTAGGCATTGTATTAGGAACTGGAGAATGTAGTTGTGAAAATAAATGAAATCTTATGCTTTCAATTTAAGGTGGTATTAAGGGCATTCTCTACATTGGATTAGGTTATGAGCTCGATGTTTTTGATGAATTCAGTTTCCAGGTCCCTGGTGCATTCCATGTGAGGTTTTTAAGGACGTCTCCCCACCTCATTCAATAATTCTCTGAATTTGTTGATCTGACCTGCATTTTATTTTGCTCGTGCACCCCCAGATCCTGCGTTTCTTGTCTATTAGGAACAAGTCTTCACTCAGCTTCTCACAACACATACCTTTGTTCTGTTCTCCCCTCTAGCCAATCAGCCACCGTCGAAGAACTGCACCCACGCTTATCTGTCCCCGTATCCCTTCATGAGAGGCCAGCACAACTCCACCTCCTATGACTCCGCAGTCAGTAAGTACCTCTGTGCTCAGAGCGCCTCTGAGGGTGCCTGTCTCTCTTACAGGTGCCCGCCAACACTCCTGGGGGCAATTTAGAAGTGATTTGTCATTTATAATTTCAACTCAATATGTTATATATAACATAGTAAGATGTCGTTTTTAAAACACCATTTATAATCCTAACAAAATACAACTTGGTCTAAAAGTAAAGCCATTGCAATTTACTTGCTACTTATAAAGCTGATTTTTTAAAAGTGTGTTTTCTGATATGAAAATAGCACTGGTCATCAGGAAGAACTGCTCCTTAAGAGTTTAACCGACATAAAACTAGTCTTATAATGGAAAATATTGTAATATACACCCTGAATTTAAAACGTTTTTTGCAAGTGTTATATGTAAGAATGTAATTATGCTACTGTGTTCTACAAAGTGACAGAAACTTGTTGTGTGTGACATCCCATAGAAGAAGAGCCAGGCGTCATTAACTGGGAGCCATGATTACCTGGCTTCTTTAATGTTTTGTACTGTTTTCTTCTATAGAAAGGACATATATTAGTTTCTATAGAAAGCACAGAATATGTAGTATAGAAAGTTAGTTTTATAGAAGGTGCATAAGCTCAACATGTCAACTTTATTCTCAACTGGTTCCATAAAATTTTAAATACAGGGCGTTTAACTTAACTTTAAGACTAAAGGTTGGTACAGAAATTACCAGTGCCATAAACAGAGCCACATAATATCTGTTTTTTTGAAGAGGATACCTAATACCTTTAATATTCTGAGTAAATTTGTATCAGTGAGCATTCTCCAGAGAATCAGTAGGAGATTATAAACGTGTGTGTGTGTGTGTGTGTGTGTGTGTGTGTGTATACAGAGTGGTAAGTTGAGATTGATTGAGGGAAAGATTTTTAAGGAATTGGCTTATGCTACTGCAGAGGCTGGCACGTCTGAAATCTGTGGGTCAGGCCTGCGGCTGCAGAACCAGGTAAGAGTGGATGTTGCGGTCTGGACTCCGCAGGCTGTAAAGCTGGGTAGAATTTCTGTGGTGCAGTCTGGGGGAGAGTTCCTCCTTCTTCAGGCAACCTTGGTCTTTGGTCTCAGGCCCTTCAACTGATTGGATGAGGCCCACTTCCTCATTATGGAGGTTAACCTGCTTTACTTGTAGTCTGCTGATTGTAAACACTAATTGCATCTTAAAAATACCTTTACAGCACCATTTTGACTAGTGTTTGATCAAGCAACTGGGCGCCAGAGTCTAATCAAGTTGACACATAACATTAACCATCACGGAACTTAATGAATTTTTATATCATTCATCCATTTTTTTTCATCTTTTGATAGAATATGTATTTCCATACACTATAATTTTTTTTTGAGTGTGTCCAAGGACATAGCATTTGTTTATATCACATCATTAACATTAACATTACATTTTGTGCAGTGTGGATCGGGGAAGAGGTGAGCTGACCCCAGCCTTACTTGTCCGCCGGGCTTGCTTTGCTCAAAGGGCCTGTGGCTGTTGGCCTTGAAAACACGTGCAGTGTAGATGCTGTCTCCTGTGAAGAACTGCCTGCGTGAGGCATCTCATTCACACCTGTCAGACTCTCTCACGTCATGTTGGACGTGGGCCCTCTCACTGATAGGAGGTGGCACAGGATGGAGCAGGAGAAACCTTTCTATATTACACAAAGTTACAAAGATGTTATATTACAAAAAGTCATGAAAATGGTACCCCTCCCTTGTCACTCTTTGTGGAACGTTAGGTATTTGCATAAATGTTAGTATCACTGTTCTTGATATTCATACGTTAAGGTCCTATGATCAGATAGGTATTGTGGGCACCATAGATTAACAAATGAATCTGTGTGTTTGAAAAGTTTGCACCTCAAGGAGATAGTGGAGAACTTGAAAAACAAGGTAAGATAATCTGTGCATAATAATTATGAGGAAGACGGATAGTAAATGCATGTCAGAAAAATTATACTGCAATTACATTTAGAATTATTATGTGGCATTACATATAATTACTGTGTCATGTTTTAGATCTAGTGACAAAACCACATTCCTTTTTTTTTAATTGTCAGACTCCTCTTTGGCGCACAAATTGTAACTCATTCACTTTAAGCAACTTTATCAAACACTTTAAGTAAAAATGACTGAAATGGGAAGAAGTTATGTCCTACAACAGAAATAATCCATGCAGATTTCATTTATCTTCATAATGATGTACAATGGTGCCTGACATTCATTTGGGTGATTATTTTATTGTTTCCTTTATCCAAGAGAAGGGCATACATTTCATCAAAAAGACTCCACCTGATTGAAAGTGTGTGTTTCCTGGTTAAGGAGGCCACACAGGCTTCACTAGACTCCAGAACTACTCTCTGGCTTCATGTAGCTTCATAAGTATCAGGCGTTAGACATTTGTCAGCGTACCTTGGGTAAATTCAAAGTATTGTTTGTAAAATCTGGTGTCTCCTGTCCTGGCATATTATTGATAAATGATTTTGTATTCTCCTTTTTGCAATTACAGTCAGGAAATATTGAAATACATAGTGGTGGATGATTTCTCTGGTGGGACTGTTGTGGAATTATTGGACGTTCCTGACGAAATTGCTCTGTTTCACGCTGAGGAGACTGAGACCTAGAGAAAGCATGTGGTTCTGTCTTCACATGGCTGTTCACAGGCAGAGCTGACGCAAAGGTCCAAGTCTCTGGGTTTTGCTGATCGATAGTCTTATAAATGACAGTGAATGGAAAGGCTAATTTTCATTCTTACTATTAAACCTTTTTTAGTATAAGTCTTTTAGTAGTATCTCAACAAAAGAACAAATTAACTTACGTCGGCTTCTTCTCCCTTTCTACCTGACCCTGGCCTATGTGTACAGTCTGGTCTAATTCAGCGTTTCCTTTATTTTTGTTTTAATCTCAAATACATATTCTAACATCCAGTTATACGCAAATCTAATTATTTGGATGGTTGCCCGACCCTAGGGGGGGTGATCTAATTTTCAGAACTGTTTTTTGAGGTAGGATTGTGTACTTCGAAGTCCATTAAACAATTCCATTACCTTTTGACATCTGTCAGAATTTAGATTTTCCGGTTTGTTTCATCCTTAAATTCAGTCACAGTGGATTAATTTGGTAGCATTTGGTGATGATGTACTGAACATGGGTTCATTTTCAAGGCAGCTTAACCCTTAAGTGAATCAGTCGTTTCTTTTTGGTGTCCTTATAGTCTTTGGCCACACCCAACAGAGGTTTCCTTGCATTTGACTGTAATTGTTTGTCTACTCGGTTTCTTCATTATTTATTGCAACTCCCCAAAAGCATAGAATGTGACCTAATCATATTTATATCACCAGAACTTAGTGTAGTGCCTGGCATTTAGGAGATGCTTAAATATTGAATGATAGTGCAAAAGTTACAGTTTGTGTTTTCAGCAGTAAACTAATTTAACTTTATTTTTCCCAAGTGGAAAATTTTCAAAGCTAAATTTCATACTTCGGTTTCTTCTGAAGCAGAATATATTGCATATAATTTTATCTTTTCCTGAAACCTGAAACAAACCTGTGGACACAGGCCAGTCACCATGAATCAGTATTTGTCCTCTTGCTGTAGGGGTCGTGTATGTCCCCCCGCCCCCGCCAAATGCTGTTTCCCTCTTCCCAACCCCTCCTCACTTCATTTTTCTAACAGAACAGCTTTATCCACTGAGCTAATTTAAACTTCAGTTTTCTAGGGAAGTCTTCCTCGCTGGCCCTCTACCCCACTAATATTTGAACTAGACCAGGTTCTCCTTTATAAAAACCTATGCTTTAATTTGATAATCCATAGCACAGAGTTTAATTACTTACTTGCATAATTATTTTGTTCATATAGTTCTTCCAAATTCGACTCTAAACTCCACGGCTGTGATGTCTTTTATGTTTTGGCTTACCACTGTATCCACTGTAGACTGTATATGTTTGTATAATAAATAGTTCTTGAGAATCTCCATTAACTAACCTGTTCTGTGGTGCTGATACTGGTGCCCCATAACAACTCATGTGTGTAGGAATTTTTCAAGCCTTTATGAAACGGACCCTGATTTCTCTTAAAATCTTCTTCCATACTTTTTGTAATTTTTTAGATCTTCAACATTGTTTTCACGTGTCAACTGTCCTTTGCTTTTAGTGTTGGTAATATTTATTTGGGATTCTTTTGTAGTCTTTTTAACTTTCACTATTATAAAAAAGTGTCGAGTGATGTGAATGGTGTAAGACTAGAAGCAGGAAGGCAGCGAGGCACGATATTAGTCAGCAGCACACTGGGCTGTACGTGGCAGAAGACAAACAGTAGCTAAAAAATAAGGGCTATCTTTCTCCCACAATAAGAAGTTCAGGAGCAGCTGTCTTAAGGATGCTGTCAGGTTCCCAGGCCCTTTCAACCTTTTCTCCTACCATCCCTGGCAGGTGGACAGTCACTGTCATGTTCTTCCATCTTCCAAACAGCAGAAGTGTCCCTAGAATTCTCTGGTAGGTGTCTATCAGTGCTTTGTTTATCAGAATTGGGTCACGTGGCCTCGTTGGGCTGGGACGTGGAGTTGTTGGCTTTCTAGCCACTGTGCTGGAGGAGGAGAAGGGCGAAGGCCTGGGAGTGTTGAGCGGGCCGACCCAGAGGCCCCTCCTTGAGGAGAAGCATCACAGTCCTGCCTGGAAGTTGTCAGGGCTTGACGAGGGGGGAGAGCAAAGATGGAAAGACAGTAGTGGATATAAATGATATTTAAAGAGTTAATGTGTAAAACTTGATAGTTGAACAAAAGAAATCTGGAGGAATCTAGGAAAATGAAGAAATTTATACCAAACATTTAAACCAAAAAGGAGCAAGGGGCCCATCTTGGCCTCTCTTATCTTTCAGTATCATCGCTTCCACCCCAAACTTCAGATTTTTTTTTTCTTAAAAGAGAGTATTAACTAGATTCGATGAAAAAAATTGAGTGTCTACTATGAAAAAAATTATTGGACACTGTCC